GCCTGAAGCCTGACTGGAATGGATCCAGGGCATCTGTTTCATCCAGGTGAGCTTGGAGCTGATCAGCCACCACCCTCTCGACCACTTAGCTCATGAAAGAAACATTGGTGACGGGCCTATAATTGCCAATCTCATCCACCGCCAAACTAGGTTTCTTTCTTATGGGCCTAATGAGTGTCTCCTTGAGGGCAGATGGAAATCTGCCCTCAAGGAGAGACCCATTTGTTATTGCAGTGGCCCATTCTGTTGTTATCGGCCTGGCTGCTTTGATAGGCCGGGCAAGGGTCTAGGGAGAAGGTGGTGGCTCGACAGCGATCAAGCACCCTGGACACAGAGTCAGGCGTTACAGGGTGAAAGGAGTCGAAAGTCATACAGATGCACTGAATGTGTTACTCTATGGAAAAAAACAGGGAGATGGATTGATTTATGTATTTCTAAATGGTAAAACTATGTAAACAATACAGATATAACCCATGTTTCCATCTCTGGATGCCCCCTACAGAATTTCCTCTGTCATGCTTGCAAAGATAGGCCACAAATTCATTGTGCTCATTTCTCAAGAAAAGTTCAGGTCCACAGAAGTAGACATTCTGTTCTTTTCCTCTGTGTGTTTCAAAAGGACTGATGAATGTGGCCATATGATGCAGTCAGTCACCAAAATCATGGCACTTTTTAACAGGTGATTAAATAATCACTGGAAGAAGAGAAGTGTCATTGATCAGGAAAGGAATTTTCCTCTGTTTTGCTTATCTGGAGGAAGGAGGAATATAGGAACAGCTGCAGCATGCAAGCACAAGGAAAGAGTCTTCTTTTGCCAGATTGCCATTTCTTGGATGCCATATTATTGGTGAAAATCAGATCTTAAAACTTTCTCCAGAACAAATGCATCTTTTATCCATCTTCTCTATGTTTGATCCCAAGGGATCATAGCTATGACTGATAGACATATCAAAGGACCCAGACTGGAAGATGGCACACCTAGGGAAATATTCTTGTTAAAATAGCTCCAAAATTGTACTAAACAGAACTTATGAATGTAATAATTAAGTTTTTCCCATTCATGTCTTCAGAATCAGGCATTAGAATACAAACCGTCTCAATTCCATTAAAATTTCCTCCTTCACCACATATCTCTGATGGAATTGTTTGGCTTAAAATGCTGAGCTTGTTAGAATCTTGTGCATCACTTAATGTCAGCACATGGAGGCCATTTTGACCTTTTTTTATATTTATTCCCTGCCTCTCAATCAAGATGGCTTCCTAAAGTGTCTGAAACCAATGAAGAGCCACCACAAAAATCTATTAATGTATTATTTGTTATAATAATTATTTCAATTAAGAGAAATAATAAATCAAAATATACATGAAAAGGGAGAAAAAACTAAAGGGGTTAACAAATAAAAATAGATTGAAGTAGTTCTCAGAGTAACTTACAAGTGGTTGGAGAGAGAGAAAAGACAAGTGCTTTTAAAGGAAATATCCTCCAGTACCAATTAATTAAGAGAAATAATAAATCAAAATATACATGAAAAGGGAGAAAAAACTAAAGGGGTTAACAAATAAAAATAGATTGAAGTAGTTCTCAGAGTAACTTACAAGTGGTTGGAGAGAGAGAAGAGACAAGTGCTTTTAAAGGAAATATCCTGCAGTACCAATTACAAAAACATACTCAGGGTTCTCATGCCCCCCGCAGCAGTTTTTTCAAGAGTGACTGACTAACTGTCAAGGGGAACCTTTACCTTTACCAATTACAAAAACCTACTCAGGGTTCTCATGCCCCCCGCAGCAGTTTTTTCAAGAGTGACTGACTAACTGATTTGCTTTATCACTCAAAAGATGGTAAAATATGCAAGATGATAGGTAACTTGTTCCATATCAGCTTGTTCCATATCATTGGTTATACATACAGGATAGCTCAGTGGTTTAGGTATCTGGCTGTGGAACCAGAGGTTGGGAATTTGACAAGGGCTGGACTCAATGATCCATAGGGTCTCTTCCAGCTCTGCAGTTCTAAGATTATAATCGCATCTGAGAATATGAACAAAATATTCCTCACTTCTGTAATATAATTCACTTGTTAGTGTCATATAAGTGGCTGTTGCTGCTGCTGCTTGTTGCAACACACTTTGATAAAGGATTTAAAAGCCAGTCCCAGGGCTGCATGCAGTCCAGACAAGACTATGTGGCCCCTGAAGGTACTTATTAGGGAAGAATGCAGAACAATTTAGTTTTCTACTTCTTGATGCCTCAATGAATGGTAGTTTTGTAATAAAACAGGGTGGAAGGGTCTCAATTTCTGCAAAAGTCCAAACCCACCAAAAATGAAACAAAAAATGAACTTCCAGCAACAATCAGTTTTTATTATTATTACTTTTTCATACTGTTTGCTCTTTTGTGTGGTGTGGCCTTTGATGTGTCCTGGTATGTAAAAAAGTCATCCTTTGTATAGCTGAGACTTTCTAACTTGTTGGATAGAAGAGTTCTGAGTATTGTAAAATCTTACACTAGTAGCTGTTAGTCTAAGTAATAGTGCTTTCTTTGTATCTTGTATTGTCTAGAGTGAACATGGCAACAGTTAGTAAATTGCTTAGTAGTGCTTAGGGTTGGGGTGAGGTTGGCCAGGCAGGGCTATACTAGGAATACCTCAGGTAATCTGGCTGCTTTCTGTTAAGAATGCACATATATCTTCACTTAGCTGCCAGGCATAAGTCCAAAGCTGATTTGTTGTTTCTTACATCTCTGTGTTCTATACCTTTGATTAAGTGGTACTCTTCAATACAAAGGAAATGTTTTTTTCTTATGTCCTAGGATGGTGAAATGGTTTTACTGGATGGTGGGTGTGAATCTTCCTGTTATGTAAGTGACATAACCCGCACTTGGCCCATCAATGGCAGGTAAGTTCTGTTTGGTTTCCAGCAATAAAAATGCTGTGCTGTTTCGGAGACCTACATTTCATGTTCTCTTAAATTTCTGTGTGCTTATCTGGCTGGATAGCCCAGTGGTTTAGATACAGTGGAACCTCTACTTATGAACGTCCCTACCTACGAATAGTCCAACTTACGAACAGCTCCGTTCACAAAATTTTGCTTCTACTTGCAAATGGAGTTTCAACATACAGTGGTGCCCCACTTGACGACAACCCCGCTTGATGACGAAATCATTTGACGACAAGTTTTTTGTGATCACTGTAGGTTTTTTCGCTTTACATCGATTAGGTGCCTGCTTCGCGAACCGTTTGTTCGCAAAACTTTGTTTTTTCCGGCTCCGCAAAATGGCTTCCCTTCGCAAAATGGCTTCTTTCCCTTCGCAAAAAGGCTGTTTTCCGGACAGAAGCTTCGGAAGACAGTGATTTTACACATCTGATCGGCAGTTCTCTATGGGCGATCTTCGCTGGACGATGAGATATTTCCCCATTGGAACGCATTAACCGATTTTCAATGCATTCCAGTGTTTTTTTTTCACTTGACGATGATTTTGCTTAACAGCGATTTTCCTGGAACGGATTATCGTCATCAAGCAGGGCACCACTGTACAAACGAAAAAAAAACGTGGGGGAGGCGGGGAAAGCGCAAAATTTGAACTTTCAGTTGACCGTTGGCCAGCGAAGAGGCTGTTTGTCTGCTACCTCGCTCGTCCTAGCAGTTAAAGAGTGTATAGGGAGAGAGTCTTCAGACTGCCTGGCATAGTACTGCCTGGTACTATACTGTTCGGACTGTATTTTTTGGCTTTTTTTTTTTAAATGATTTTTGGATTTTTGACTTTTTTTAAAAACAGAGAGACTGCCTATTCTGGTGAGTACACTGTATTTACTGTACTGTACAGGGGTTTTTGCAACTTGGTGGGGTGGTAGGTCTAGGTGGGGGTTATGTTTCTGTGCTCTGATGGGTCTTGCAGTGTGGATTTAAAATGTGAAAAGTAG